ATGCGTCGGACAAAGAAATACCAGGAGATCAAATTTTCTCAAAAATAAATGAGGATTTTAAAAATGATTTTATTTTGAAAAGAAAGCATTGGCGTAGTACTTTTTCCCCAAAAATATTCAATGCGAAACCCGTAGGGATGCCACTGTTTGAAAAAATACAAATTTGTGTACATCAGAAAATGCGCCTTGAGGCATGGAACATATGTACCAAATATGCCAAAGATGTCTACAAAATTATTTCAGTTATTATTGAAAAACTTATTATTTTTGAAAACTTTGCCACCCTGTATCTCAAAAGTTAAGGCGTTTAGGACATAAGTCCATAGAAAGTTTTTTTCTTGAAATGGGTCTAAGAATTACTTCCTTGAATATTAGCATGTGTTTAAGGGACACCCTGTATATTACGGTCATTAGCGTTCCAGTGTATGATATCTGTTCATTCATAACGATTATTTGGAGTACAAAATAAATAGAAAGTAATTCAATGTTTATGTGAAAGTAAACCTTCGTGTGCCATGATGATTTGTTGGCCAAAATTGAATGCTATAGCTTGTCGGATTATTTTTGTATATGGCTGTGCAACTTCTCGAACGTTCCCTGCAAGTGGCCGTCGATGGATATCTCTCGAATACTTTTATCATCAACGGTATTGTTCCCCAGGAATCCATATTGTCACCAACCCTCTTTTTATTGGTAAAAAACCAAGAATCCAATATAGTGCTTTGCAGGCGACAGCACTCTTGTCTCGACATTTTATTTGGATTCCAGGATATCGGCTGTAGATGCACATCTTCACCAGCAGCAGGAGGTTGCATATTCCAATGAGGATCTAGAGGCAATTTTGAGTTTAGGTGAATGTTACTAGGTTCGATTCAATGCCACGAAAACCCAGGTATCCGTTTTCTCAAAAAAAAAACTCTCCGAACCGAATATAATAATCCCAGAACAGACAATTCCACTTTCTGCTTGTTTGTTGGGGGTTAAAATGGATGCCAATATGTCTTGGAACAAGCATGTTGCTGGAATTGCAAAGGCTGATTCTCTAAGCCTACACTGAAGCTGCTGGATTCCATCCAGAAAAAAGCCATCCGTCTGATTGAAGACACGAAAACAACTTGCAACCTTCATAGTCTGGAACATCGAAAAAAGGTTGGATGTTCGTCCCTCTTTTATAGATACTTCCATCATGGGAGGTGTTCAAGTGACTTGGCACATTTGATTTCACACAGAGCGGTACATATCAGAAATACGCGACGAACTGTGGCTGCTCTTCGTTTCGAACTTCACAGTTCAAAAACTCTTTCATTTGGACAACTGCTTTTATGTGTAATAAACTTTATGAGAACTTTTTTACAAACGACTTCAATCTCCAGCGATTCAAATCCAACCTGAATTGCTACTTTTGCACAGGCTACTTAGAGTGCCTTAAGGATTTTTCTGTTATGCTTGGGTTTTGTCCCAAAAAAAAGGTGTTTCAAAGAGGTTTTTTCTAGTTTCTTTCTGTGTGTGATCTATACAGGGCTTTTCATGATGAGCGTTAATTAGCCGTTTCTGACAAACTATTTAACGGATCAACCTGAAAATTTCACAGTATGCATAAATCAATATGACCTACACGCCTTAAATATTTCAGACGAAGGGGCGTTGTCGCTTCTACTATAAAGTAGCGGCTACTTTGATTTTTCAAATGGAACACCCCGTATATAATATCATATTATGATTCATTA